TAAAGACACAGAAATGACGATTGGCGTTACATGTAACTTTTTGAAGGTCGTAGGTGACAGGAGGGCAAGGAGTCGAAAGAGAATCCCACAAATGAGAATAGCGAGATCTTCTGATCTTCTTCAGGTGCCTGTCAATTCAGATAACATCTAGATGATGATTTGGACATTGATATCAGATTTTAGGAAGTGGGTGAGACAGAGAACATTTCAGTAACCAAATTAGCTGATTTTTTTCTGTTAAACCCGTTCAAAAATGTCTAACCCGTCAGCTGCATACAATCACATTTTGGCATCAGTAGTTAAGAATGGGTTTCAACGAGTGAAGTCTGTATGTCTGTGGGAAGACAATACATCTTTGTAGATCGTCGACTGGCGCTACAGAATTACAGCGAACGTTACCAAGAATAGAAACCACATCACTTGAAGACTTCCATCAGCAATAACAAGTAAAATGGATTATATATAGCACTAGAACGGAAACTAATGACATGATCAAGATGTTAACTGTGTTTAGTAGAGTGTATTCTGGTGTTTGGTAGAGGGTATTCTGGTGTTTGGTAGAGTGTATTCTGGTGTTTAGTAGAGGGTATTCTGGTGTTTAGTAGAGGGTATTCTGGTGTTTGGTAGAGTGTATTCTGGTGTTTAGTAGAGGGTGTTCTAGTGTTTGGTAGAGGGTATTCTGGTGTTCAGTAGAGGGCATTCAGGTGTTTAGTAGAGTGTATTCTGGTGTTTAGTAGACTGTTTGGTAGAGTTATTTTTCTATTGTTTTGGTGTTTAGTAGAGGGTATTCTGGTGTTTAGCAGAGAGTATTCTGGTGTACAGTAGTGGGAATTCTGGTGTTTAGTAGAAGGTATTTTGCTCATGTCGCCTGTATCGCTTTCTCTTTCTGCTACGCACCACGTTAGGCTTGACCACCATCCGCCAACCCCGTACACTTCCACGTTGCAATCCAAACTTTTGCTGCCTGGGTTTGGGACTGAATGTAGCATCCCTTATCATGCGATTGATAATCGATGTGGTACAGGCACAGGATGAGTCAATTAAACATGCCACGTCAGCATACATCGACGATATTTACAGTGATGAAAGCTGAGTTTCGACGAAACAAGTTCAGAAGTGCTTTACCAATTTCGCACCCTGAGAAGCAGAATGATGGGGTCAAAGTATTGGGATTGTACGTCTGGCGACGGCGTGGGGAGCATGATATACTTCAGTGGAGACGAGGGTACGAAGATCTCACCAATTCCAGCCACCATTACTCGCCATAATAGCTTGGGATTAGTCGAGGGCATTCTGGTGTTTGGTAGAGTGTATTCTGATGTTTAGCAGAGTGTATTCTGGTGTTTCGTAGAGGGTATTCTGGTGTTTAGTAGAATGTGTTCTGGTGTTTGGTAGAGTGTATTCTGGTGTTTAGCAGAGTGTATTCTGGTGTTTAGTAGAATGTATTCTGATGTTAACAGAGGGCATTCTGCTGTTTAGTAGAGGGTATTCTGGTGTTTAGTAGAGGGTATTCTGGTGTTTAGTAGAGGGTATTCTGCTTATGTCGCCTGTATCGCTTTCTCTTTCTAATCCACACCCCAAGCGTCGTCTACAGAATTACTACTGTCCACCAACAAGCCATGTAGCCGTTTATATAATAAGCGGAAGGTGTTGATACATTTGAATATGTGCGATGTCCATTTAATCAAATCCCGGCCAATGCGCACGCGCAACTTTAGGCCTCGAACCGGATTTCCTGTTACAGCTGCAGCAATTCGAACACGCTTCGTATTACGTATGCCATGCACTGCGTTACTACATGCACTACATTAAACAAGAAAACAAATCCCCATTATAACAAGTGAGAGCGATAACAATTAGAGGACTTCAAAGGCCCATTTAAAAAAAAAACTGTTCGGTCAATGGATACCGAATGTTTTCTGTATGAAAATGGTTATTCTCACTTTTCGCATTCAGAAGACATGTTTTTTTCTGTTTTTGTTTTGTTTTTTCTTTGTTTTTCTTTTGCGGGATGGGGGGGTCTTTTGTTTTAATCATTTCACCCCGAGCAAGGCAATAAAACTACTAAGACGCAAGGAGGTTACTGAGTGTTAGTGAATATTTAAAAAAAATACTATTAAGGAGAGAGAACAATAAAAAACAAGAATTAAAAAAGACAGAAAATAACGATTGACATTGCTTTTAATTTTTGAAGAGCAATGTTGACTGGGAAGCAAGAAGCTGGAAAAGTTCCACAAGTAAGAAGTGCGATTGAAGAAACGCTCAGCATAGAGCTTACGCTTACATCTGGTCATTTCAACTGTGAAAAGTTGAAATCTTGCTGCCAGTCTAGCACAGCGGTTAAATTCATAAAGTCTGGGTACCATAGCGGGAAGTTCATCATAACAATTACAACGAAAATCTTTATAGAAAAGGCAAAGTGAAACTACGTTACGGCGGTGGGAAAGGGACTGAAGCCGAGATGCCAGGTCAAGACCGATAATATTGCAGATTCTTCTTTGGATTTTATCAAGAATCTCTAAATATACAGAAGTACCAAACCAGACGTGGCAGAAATATCGAAAGCATCGAGGGTACGTAAAGACGTAACAGAAAAAAAAAACGTGTTATTCGATTTACCGTATATACTCGCGTATCGTGCGACTTTTAAGTGCCTAATTTTGAAGCTAATTCGAGTAAATGGATATATGATTTGGTCAATGGCATAGCCAGGACCAGCAGTGCAAGCGCTAATTTTATATCTCGTTTATGATTCGACCCGCTTAAAATTAGCTTCAAAATTAAGTCTTCAAATGTCGCAGGATACGTGAGTATATATGCTAATCAACGAATGTTTGTGCGTCAGTTTTTGAAATCAAGAAAAGCGTCTTCGTGAATAACGGGGTCATCTGTTCCTAAAATGGATATTTTGTCTCAAACAGAGAAATACCTGTTCAGAAGACTAGCGTTGTATAGGGAGATCGATTTGTTTTTCTTATTCTCTCTTTCCTTTATCTTCTTTTTTGTGGCAATGGCAGATTTAATATACAGGAGGCCAAGTGCATTGTTATGACGTTGCAGTGTGGGAGGTTGAAAGGAAATGCCAAGGAAACAAAAAAAAAAACTCCGGAATGCTACAATAAAGTTTGGAGAAAAAAAGAGTAACAAAAAAAGTGAGTGACAAAGATATATAGAGAGAGGGAGATATAGAAAAAAGAGAGATAGAAAAAGAGACGGGTGATAGAAAAAGAAGGGGATATAGAAAAATAAGAGGGAGACAGGGGAGAAGAAGATTTAAAGAAAGGAGAGATGAGGAGTAGAGGGAGATGCAAAAAGAAAGGGGAGATAGAGAAAGGGGGGATAGAGAAAGGGGGATAGAAAAAAGGGAGAGATACAGAGGAGAGGAAGATTTAGAGAAGGGGAGAGAGAAGGAGAGATAGAGACATAGTCAATGTTACTCAGCAAAAAATGCGATGAAATTGCTACAAAAATGGAAGAAAGTGGGGGCATGACATAGGCATAGAAAGGGGTGATAGGGGGAAAGAGAAGTGAGGAAGATGCAAAAAAAAGAGGGGAGATATAGAGAGGGGAAATAAAAACGAGGGGGAGAGACAGTGGAGATGGAGATTTAGAGACGTGGAGAGAGGAGGAGAGACAGAGACAGAGGTGGGGCGAAAGATGCGACGAGACCGCAACAAAAATGGAAGAAAGAGGGGAGGTGGCATAGAGAGAGAGGGGGGGAGATAGAGAGAAAGGGCGGCGAGAAGATGCAAAAAGAGAGGTGAGACAGAAAAAGAGGGGGAGAGAGGAAGATTTAGAAAAGTAGAGAAGTAGAGAGAGGGGGAGAGTTAGAGAGAGGAGGATGGGGCAGAGGGGAAGAAAGTCAATGTCACTCAGCGAAAAATGTGATGAAATCGCTACAAAAAAAAAAAGAAGTTTATTCTGCTCGAAGAGTGAGCAGCCGAAGTTGACTAAAAATCATGTCGATCAATCAAAATGAGGTAAAGGGTTTCAGACAAGAGGAAAGCCGACTAGCGAGGTAACACGAGCACAATGGCGAAGGTTGGGCGCATAGAACGGAACCTAAGGCACAAAGTCAGTTGTAGCTGATGCAAGGCGTTTGGCTTGAGATAGAGATTGATGAAAACACACAGTCAAGGACTACAGGGAGTAGAAAAGCGTGTGGACAGGAGATGGCTCGATAGATGGACGGTTACATGGAAAATAAAAGCAGGTAGATAGATAGGTAGGATTTGGGGGGGGTCGGGGACAGGGGATGGCGTTGGTCGGACCTCGTGGAAGCTGCCAACAGATGACGCGCTTTCTCCCAACACACTTCCTTCACCGTCTTAGCAAAGGAAAAACAAGAAATAAAAAATATCAAATGTCCGTCGGGATTTGACGGACTAGGCCATCAAAAGACTAACGCTAAGACCTTTCACGGGGTTTTACAAGTTTTTCCTAAACTAATCCATTACCGCGGGGGACTTCCACAGAACGAGAAAACGGCTTGATGCGGCTAATATGGTGAATAGAGTGTCCAAGAAAGAAAGAAAAAAAGAAAAAAAGAAAGAAAGAAAGAAATTGTATGCAGTCAAATGTAATAAATATGGACGATCAAAGAAAGAAAGAAAGAAAGAATCTAGGAGGAAAGAAAGAAATCGTATGCAGTCAAATGTAAGAAATATGGATGGTCAAAGAAAGAAAGAAAGAAAGAAAGAAAGAAAGAAATCGTATGCAGTCAAATGTAATAAATATGAACGATCAAAAAAAGAAAGAAAAAAGAAAAGAAAGAAAGTAAGAATCGAGGAGTAAAGAAAGATCGTATACAGTCAAGTGTTAAAATTAGGAATGGTCAAAGAAAGAAATGTAGAAAGAAAGAAAGAAAGAATCGAGGAGTAAAGAAAGAGATCGTATACAGTCAAATGTAAAAATTATGAACGGTCAAAGAAAGAAAGAAAGAAAGAAAGAAAGAAAGAAAGAAAGGAAGGAAGGAAGAAAAATGAATGTCGTCGACACATGCTTCCTCATATAAAACGTCGACCGAAATCCTTGTATAATCCACTCTCTCATGTCATCTGACATTGGCAGAATTGTGTCCATGTCTTCAAACAATGACCATTGTTAAGTAATTGTATAATGCCTGCACACTTGGTCAATGTATAAATTTTGACAGCGCTTTTTCAACCTCGCCATATTTGCTGGTCGATCAAAAGACGAGATAATCTCGCAATTAGTTACTCGATCAATAATCTTTGATCAGTTTTGATCAACTCCATCTTTCGATAAACTTCACTGGAGAACCAAAAATGTTCGTTTAGTTTGTTAAATGAAAATAAAAGCTTATTTTCCTTTTTCAATTTTCGACATTAACTTTATCGGCCATTATATTTGCCGTTTCATTCCACTATTTTCTGACATCTTTCGAGCAACTTCGTAATTTTTATCAGGAAAGAACTGCTCTTGGTACTTCTTGCAATCTTCCACGAGATCGATTTTTTTTTTTTGTAATTAAGAGAATTTTGTAAAGATTTCAGTAAATGGTAATCCAAAAAGTGCAATATCTACTGAATACGAAGAGGCGTGTGTAGGATTATTCCATCTTGTCCGCCATGTGATTCCCCTTACGTCCGCTAGGTGGTGATGTGTAAAACAGTATAAATAAAAGGGCAGAAACTCTCTCTCTCTCTCTCTCTCTCTCTCTCTCTCACACACACACACACACAGAATTTCTTCACGATTTAGTGACAAGACATGTCTCGTTTCCCCTCTGAGGTGGATTTCTTAGTCCCAGAGAACCATGTGTCGCATACAACGAAACTCCTTACACTATTTCATGTTCAAAAACAAACTCATGTGATAACATTAATATCTCAGCTACAACTTATCCCATCAATATATCACTGTTCAACACAGGAAATATTCCAGTTCAATAAACAAGACAACGCCAAAACAAACTTATTACAAGTGAGAATGTCTCAGTCAATATATAACGATTTTTAATTTCGCTTGAAATTAAAAAGAGACAGATGAAATTTCTGGGGCACATAATGCAGAGAAGGAGGTTTAGAGAATTTAACACACACAGTACATACCGAAGACAAGAGGGTCAGACGGAAAGCAGTGAGTAAATTATATATTGAATTTGTGTAAATGGTTGCCAGAACATGAACAGGGCGCGATAAAGAGACAAATATTGCTTAATGCTATAAAAGATAGGAAGGTGTGGAGAGTCATGATCTCCTACGTCAAGACAGCACATAGAAGGACTTGAAGTGATATATTAATCGTACCTCATTCGCATATATCATCATCGTCATCATCATCATCGAACTCACGTGAAGACTTCTTTTTTTTTTATTAAGAACGTTCATTTATTATGAGTTTCCTTTTTAAGCCGATATATGTTCACGGGTCGTCATCTCTGGATAGATTGCCAGCCAATGCTAAAGAGCCCCTATCTATACATAGATGAAGACTTCCTGCTAGCATAAACAATGACGGATTCCAAACAGATTCATCTGCCACAAATTCACTCACAAAGCTGGGATCAGACTGTGGGTTGTGGGTTTTCAGGCAGTTCTCAGTGGCTCGCTGGAGACTACAGCCCGATATCATCGAAGAGGTCACCTCCATGTGTAATTGACCCTGAGGAGAGGTGAATCGGGAGTTCATGGTCGGAATGCTAAAGGTCTTTCTCCACATAACTATTCGGTTACTACTTCAGTTAGAAAATACCAAACACAATTACGGAGATCAACTACATTTTCTCTTACTCGTATGGACACGTGATCGAGTTACGGGCACAAAGCCGAGTGGTTAGAACGTTCGAATTCTAACCATGAGACCCGGGTTCGAATCTTACCATTGTCGATTTGTCAGGAAAGAGACTTCCTGATGTTATCGGACATTTTGAAAGTGCCTGAAAAATATACCACGGATTAACCCAAGCCTTGTGAGTGAAATTGGGTAGACGGAATTTGCTAGCACGAAATGACAAGTCATCATGGCCGAGGGCTTGAGTTGATCACGCTAGATAATACACTCTTTCACAGAAACTTCTCAGCATCATCGCAGTATAAACACAAAGGTGGGCTCTGTGGGTGTCGAATAAACACAAAATGCACCTGAGCAAGCGTCTGCAATAGGGATTGGTTAGCCGCACTGGTGAACGGATATCCTCGAATACGAGTGGCCAGCTATACTTATTTTTCAAAGTCTGGCACGGTCACATTATGATATGGAATTTCCAGTGTGTAATGTTCGATCAATAATAATAATAATGTGAAAACGTCTGATTAAGTGCATTAATAAGAAAGAAGATTATGTTGAAAATTAACGCGTTGTTGTCTCATATAAAAGCTTTTAAATCATGAGGCTAAAATTATATATATATATATATATATATATATATATATATATATATATATATATATATATATATATAGTTTCATCAAATCGTCAAACGTACTGTGAATTGATTACAGTTTGGTTAATATTTCTGTCTCTAGCGTACACAGA